TGTAAACCCTCTATCACCTTCGGCCCATGCTCAACTACAGCTGCGCTCGTAAACCGTCCTGCCATAGCTCCGCTGACAGGTTTGAACACGACAGCACTCTGTGCGTATTCTTCCATCTCGGAGTTGAATTCTGGAATGGATTGGTGCGGAAGGGGTTCTAACATGATCGTGGAAGAGGTGTCAGCCTGTGATTGGAGGTATGCCGTATAACGTGCTTGCTTGACTGGATCGCTGGGAAATGGTTTGAATCCGGTCAGAGCAGCACGGGCGATTTGAGGATCGGTGCGGGGAATACGAGGGGTTGTGGCAGTAGGAGCAGGAGCAGGAGGAGAGATCTGGTCAGAGGCACTTGCGGTTGCTGGAGGTCCTGTTGTTGAATGGAGGGTGGCAGCGATATTCTTTAACCTATCGCGGTCTTTCTGGGACATATAATCGAATACGGATCGAGGGGCAGAGGGGAGTGGTGTCTCGCCCAAAATCGACCCTCGCTGTCGAACGGTTGGATTAATTTCTCGGATGTACGTCAGGTAGCAGATAACCTACGTCGTCCGCAGACAGACCACTCGTCTTCCACTTGCCATGCGGAATTGCCGCAGTCTTGTCCTGCTTAACATTCTCCTTGTCTGAAGCTAAATATTGCTCTTTATTTTGGCCTTGCGACCAGACGCGTTTTGGGTCAGGTTTCCATCCTGGGGGAATATCAGGTAGAGGATACCTGTGGACCCAAGATATCAGTTGGTGCCTATCCCTGTAATGTAATCCACTGACCATCGATCCTCCATCACGGGTTTACCCGAAAAAACAAAGCCAGGTAACACAGGTGTCCCATCGCGGAACGTTCCAGTGGGAGGTATTGGAACTGGAGCAGATTTCTTGAAAAAAGGATAAGACGAAAGATCAAATCTGCATGCTCAAAAGTGTGAATTACCTACTAGCTTTGATTTCGAGCCACCTAGGAAAGTCCGTTCTCTTTCGGGGTCGTCAGAGGCGTCGTAAGCGAGACGATTTCGAGCATTCGCAGAGCTACCGTCGTATACATCCAGATCGTCTTCATCAGCGTCATTCAGTGCACCAAGTCCGAATCCGGCTTTGGAACAAATCAGACCCTGTCTGTCGAATTGCATGGTTGAATCAACACTTACATGCTATGTTGGGTCCAGTACTTGAGCCGCCACTGCCTTTTACACCCAGACTGTCATTCAAGCTCATGCCGGGTCGATAACCTAATCCATGACTGTTGTCTTTGCGTTCGACAACGAGCACTGGTGTATCTCGAGGAGCGTAGGTATGTTTGCTTGCCTCCTCTGCATCTTCAGCTGGAACGATTTCCGATGTGCTTACTGAAAAGGCTGAGCCAGTAGAGGCCTGCAGATCCTGTAGTCGCCTTTGTTTAAGAGAAATCCGTGGGCCGATTCCTTGTCCGACCCGCCAACCCATCTTTTTGAGTATACGAGCACCAACTGAATCCTTTGAAGGAGGTAGCATAGCGGATTGTAGAGCAGCAGTTAGTGGACTATTCAGTGGCAGATCAACGATTGAAAATAGGGATACTTCAAGGATGTGTACGCACTCGGCATCGGCGTCGTCCTGGCTCTCAATTTGCTTTCCGGAAGTAAGATCCATCTCGTCCGTGGTATCCACAATCTTCCGACTATCTCTAATATCCTGTATATCTTCTTCATCCATGAAATCTTCTGGTTTTGCCGCTTTCTTCTTTGCACGGTCGGAGCGCGATGAAACGAACGTCTGAGGAGTCCATCCTACAGTATGTTTATGTTGGGTTAATGCCTAGGTGAAGGTGATAAATGACGGTTCATTATTGACCTTCTTTTGAGCCAACAGTGTTGAAATAGCCAGCACTGAATCCACCTGTAAACGCTCCATGAAGCCTCCGTCGACCTTTCTCATCCCGAACTTCTTGTTTCCATAGCGGGACAAATTCCCCTGTGTCGCGGGATTTTTCCAGCGGTGGAAGAGGTGTTCCTATCTATAGATAGGCAATGTCAGTGTAGTAAGATACAGATTTATAGAATGGTGCTCACTAAACAGAAGTTCTCATTAGCTCTTGCACTGGACGTATCGACACCGATGTCTCCTAGCTTTCGCTTGAGGCGGCTGGTCATTGAGCGAATGCGCTTCTTTTTCAGGAGAGACGAGACAGTATGGTGCAGTCAAGGTGGTTAAGTCTATCCTTGAAGACTAAAGCGCTCAAGCGCTCAAGGTCATTGGTCAAGGAGATGATATGGCGTGATGCCATCACCATCACACGTGCTGGACTCGACGCTTTTTTGTCAATTTCAAAGGAACAAACGCAAAAATCGAATGGAGTCAAGCTCAAGCTCAAGTCTTACATGTATACACAAAGTTCCCTGTTCCTACCCCTACTGTCTTCAACTTCAAGGGCGATGCATCTTCCAACGCTAGGGCTACCCGCATCGATCTGCGTATCTTAGAGGCTTGCCGGAATACTGCTGCGCTGATGTAGGATCTTGAACAGATATCTAGGATATTTGTGCTTGGCTTTCCATCTCATCATCCCGTTACAGCTATGCATGTTTGGAGAGCTGAACTTTATTGTCAGAGGCTTCCTGGTGGGGTTCCCCGTCAACCGTAAGATGTCCCCCAAACGGTAGCTTCGAACATGGACCGTTGGCCATTTATTATTTCGTTTCAGGCGACCTGCACGGACTTTCAACACTTTTGATCCCGTCGCTCAAAACAATGCTCACTGCCGGTATACGGTAACCTTTTGAGACATAGAGGTTTGATGCTAGTTTGATTCTGAATACACGGAGTTATATTCTTCCCGGGATGTGAATCATCAACCAGCAGTCCAAGATTTGGAACGTTTCCCAGTGCAGAGAAGATGTGATAAAGCTATCCTCCTCCAAGTACAGAGCGAACGAGTCTCTTTGTGCTAATTTTCCTATGATGATGAAACCACACTGCAATAATTCGTTATCAATATCTTCACTTGAACGCAAGAACCTAAACTAGGTATATGGCAAAGTTCTTAAATTTTGATACTCACACCACGAAACTCTCCGGCTGTACTGATTGTTACAAGCACAGAGAATACTCTCACTATTTGGAGCTTCATTAGTGCCATCCTCGGAACTGACGTACAACGGCCCGTCGCTTCTGGTCTCGATACGCCATGCACAACGGACCTCCACAGCAATTTATTCAATATCCATACCTGTACCTTCCTAATGTGACACTCTAACGCCGAAGCAAGTCGTATAAAAACTGCAGATGCTAACCTCGATATTCCTCAGTGTGACCGGTTCCACTGATCCCCTTCATTCCTCGATTACACTGAATTATTGGCTGGACCAATATCCATTCTATTCTCAACTTCACGATTTTACAAACTCCATCTCTCTTTTTTGATCATCATGCACGGATTCCGCGTATCCAATCTGCTCATGACCGCTAGTGTGCTAGTTATGACTATATCCTCCCGCCTAAGCAGCGTCGGGGCTGCTCCAGTTCAAGCCCCTGCCACATCTGGAGGAGGAGGAGCCCCCGCTGCGCCACACTTTGTTGTCTATACGGATAAAGGCTCAGAACCTGCACCTGATGTTTCGAAGATTTCTGTAAGCCGCCCACTTTTCCTGAAATCCTTCTCCACGAGTCATTTATTCCGGTCTCCAAATAGGGTTTCAACACGGTGTCAGTATTTCTTCTAACCAATAAACTCTGAATTTACTGTATGAATTTACCATTTGCATCCCATACAGCGCAATGTCCTTCCTTCTGACCTCGGGTGCCGCCGACCAAGCTAAGGCATGGGAAACCTTAGCGCAAGCCCAGAAATCTAGTATCAAGAGCGCGTATCAGAAAGCCGGGATCAAGCTTATTGTCTCAGCGTTTGGTTCGACTGATTTACCCACATCGAGTGACGCAAAAAGCACTGCCGCGAAAATGGCCAAGTGGGTTCAGGATAATAACGTGGATGGGATCGGTGGGTAGTTGGAATCAAGCTCTTACTATGAAATGACTACTCACAGTGGAGAACTACATTCACATTGGTTTTTATAGATGTTGACTATGAAGACCTCAATGCTATGAATGCGCAAGATGGAAAGGCTGAGCAGTGGTTGATCGATTTCACTAATGCACTTCGAACTCAGCTTCCTCAAGGCAAATATATCTTGACACATGCTCGTAAGTCGTTTGCAACAGTATCTGATTGACTTATTGAATGATTAAGTGACTCTGCATTGTATTCTTTTCAGCTCTTGCACCTTGGTTCAGCGCTTCCCATTACAAGTCCGGTGCCTACACCAAAGTCCACAAGGAGGTTGGAAGTAAGATTGATTGGGTGTGTGTTTCTGTTTATGGTGCGACTGGGGCTGGTAGCTGACTACATTGTCGTACCATAGTATAACATTCAGGTAAGCCCAGTGCTCCTGCACCATGGAGAATTATTCAACGTTGTCCAACATTATGTTTATAGTTCTATAACCGTGCGTCCAATCTTCCCGTGCCTTCTCTCGAATCTCGCTATATTTCGTCATTTCTTCACATCTTTCAGAAGGGACCGAATATACAACTTGCGATGGTCTCCTCACTTCCTCCCCTACGTACCCCGGCTCGGCCGTGTTCGAGATCATGACAGGCGGCGTCTCAGCAGACAAGGTCGTCATTGGAAAGCCTGGTGGACAGGCTGACGCTACAACTGGATACATGGCCCCGGCCGATCTGGCAAAATGTGTGGTGACCGCTAAGGGGAAAAACTGGAGTGAGTTTCTCAACATGAAATTTGATCAGTGGATAGAATGCTGATATATGCATATGTGTGGTAGATGGCGGTGTGATGAGCTGGGAGTATCCCGAGGCTGACGCACAGTGGATCAAAACCGTGAAGGGATCGTCGTTCCAGTGAGATTTAAGACAAGCATGGAGTCTGTTCAAGAGTGATCTAGAGCTGGGATGGGATTATATATGTTTAGCTACCGCTTGAAAATAATGACATGTCAAAGGTTGTTTGGTATGGGCATGTAGCGTAGGGGTTCTCGCGTTCGCTTTGCATTCTCGATCGCTTGCGAAAGGTCTCCGGTTCAAATCCGGACTTGTCCATTTTTTCGCCTGCGGATGCGCCCCCGATCTGTTCATCGGTTCAGACGTTGCGTAGAAGGTTTTTTGGAGTTCAGACAAGTTGGCAGAGTCCTTTCTCTGCGTTGCGTGATCGTAGGAGACAGTAGGAGACAATAGTTCATCAGAGTGAATTTGGAGATACACAGGTGACTTTCAGTTGCACCGTATTATGTAGTCCGTTTCAAGTATGTACTAAACACTATTATTATCCTTCTTGACTTCCATCACCGTTGTTGTTAGTTCCTCAACAGGAATTCAAAAAGCATCCCACATATAGTTTCACGGCTGGGCATTCTCATTAAGGTGATTCGATTCTCCCACGCGATTTATCTCTGTGGTCCGCCACGTTGTCCTCAAGCTCTCGCTACCTCAGTGATACACACAAAGCCACCTCGACTTCATTATCTGAGCCAGGACTGGCCGCATTGTACTCCGATGCCGCGATCTTACAGTGTACATCTGCTGACCCGCAACATGTACTCATCGTCCCGGTTTACTTGGAGCCTGTTTTGAAGACACAGAAATAGCAAATGATATCGTTTCAAATTGCGAAGGAATCAAATTCATCGACATCTTTATTCTCAGGCAAAGTCAAGGGACTGTTGCATTCGTTGAAAAAAGTCAACGTTCCTTGTGATTTTTCTGCGTGCAACCGGGTCCGATGCCTGCCAAGCTTCGCCAAGGTACTGAGAGACAAAATTCGGTGGCGATGAAAGCAATTTTGTATTCAATGATCTAGTACTCTTGCTGTGACCTTTGTCTCTAGCCTTGTGTTGAGAAAAAGGCACAGTCTTGGCCTGAATAAAGCGGTGGTCGCAATCCAAGAGTCTTGTCTTTGTGAACGTCTTGGGAGCGTGTACATACCAGAAGTAATGATTTCCTCGCCGAACGATACCTCACCGTTTCTTCTTGCTTTCAACACAGTGAAATAATGCCTCACGTATTCTAAGATCAACAGAACACAGAGTCTGCGATTGGTCCTTCGAATGCTTGGACTTTACTTTTTGCTTTCCTATAATCGTCCACCCCCTGCCATTCTCTCATCATATTTGGAACGGTATAAAAACTGGACAGTCAATGCAGAAGAACAATCAATACAACAAGCTCTACCACAGCAATATAGGATGAAACTCCTTGCCTCTACCGTTCTGGCTGCTCTTCTCGCTCTTCCAGCCTTCTCGGACACGATACCGATTACGCTCGATATTGTTAATGCTGATGGCGCTCCTGATGGGTTCAGCAGAAGTAAGCCTCGCTTTCTTCAAGGAAAACATGTGTTTGATAAAATCAATAGGTATGGTGACCGCTAACGGAACGTATCCTGGTCCGCTCATCACTGCGAGCAAGGGCGATACACTCGTCGTCACAGTCAACAACCTGCTAGTACGTTGATCTGTTGGAAAGATTTTTTATATTTGAAGCCCAATAATCTTGGATCACAGGATGACCCGACGATGCGTCTGAGTACTTCCCTCGTAAGCTAACAAACTTTTTTCATCATGACGACTAAAGTTGTCCTGTACTATGCAGGACTTCGACGGCATCTTAGTTAACACTGGTAACTCGTTCGACGAGGGCAGTTCCTTTGTAACGACTTGTCCTATTGCACCCAACGCAAGCTACACCTACGTAGTCCCTTTGGTTAACAATCAGACTGGAACATTCTGGTATCACAGGTCAGCTTGACGTCCAATTTTCTGATTCTGGGGACTAACTTTATATTTCAACTTCAGTCAATTGAGTGTGCAGTATGTTGATGTATGTATTTCTATTTTGAGGTCCGATCCCCAGGATTTGACTTTGATTTCTTAGGGCCTTCGTGGGGCTCTAATCGTATATGGTGCGCCTCGTTTTCTCTTTCTACGATGATATATTTATTTGTTACTTACTTGCTCCAATCTTCCATCTTTCGTCAGACCCGGATGACCCTCTCAAGGACCTCTATGATGTTGACGACGAAAACACGGTCGGCTTAATTCAAATTTCCTCCCTTTCATCTCTTACCATTATTGTACATTTCTCTAGATTTGGCAAGTTGGTGATTGGTGGCACAACAGCACGCTACCCATGCTCGCAGGCTACGTCGCCACTGGAATCGTCCCAGTATCTGACAGTGGTACATTCAATGGTGTGGGCAGATTCAATGGTGGACCCGACGTACCATTCTTCGTCGTCGATGTAGTTCAAGGAACTCGATACCGTTTCCGAATCATCAATACCTCTGCCAGAAATGTATTCACCATGTCGGTCGATAGCCACAACATGACTGTAAGTTGTCCATACTCAATGCCAGTGATGTCGTTCGTTCTTGTTTAACATTTGGTAGATCATTGAAACCGATGGTATGCCCACATCACCAATGACTGTCAACTCACTCGATCTGCTTGCTGGCCAACGTTACTCTGTTGTGGTCGAGGCTAACCAGCCTGTCGCAAACTACTGGATCAATGCTCCTTACGTTGGCGGTTCTCCAGCCAGGAACTTGAACCGTACGATCTCTTGTCCTACTTCATATTCGACCAAAGATTGATAGTCTTATACAGAGAATGCCACACTTTCCCGGGCTATCCTGCGTTATCAAGGTGCCCCAGAAGAAGAACCAACGTCCCCAATGTCCCTTGGTCCCGCAGATGAGGAGTTAAACGCTCTTGTCGAGGCTAATCTTCGTGTAAGCAGCGCAATGTATTATTCAGGATGTATCATTCATTGGAGCTTTAGCCCTTGGTTGCTTCACCTGCACCAGAAGCTGACATCAACATCACACTCAACCTTGTTGTGGTTTGTATTTTTTCTGTATGCGATGTATCAATACATGAAGCTGAAGATGCCGTAGACTGCTGGTAAGGCCCAGTGGAATGTTAACAATGTTAGCTATCTTGCACCCGAGGTTCCGACCCTCGTCAAAATTCTCGATGGTGCCAACAGCACCGATGACTTCAATGTCACCGAGAACACCTTCATTCTTCCTGCTAACAAGATTGTTCAAGTCATTTTCCCCCCGAGTGAAGATGATGAGGAGCATCGTGAGTTGATTTTGACATTGTCAATGAATAGACAGCTTGATATGTAATAACGCACCAGCCTTCCATCTCCACGGAGTAAGTGTCCTTTCTACTACATGTTTGGATTTCCAGTGGCCAGGCTGAATGTATCACAGAACAACTTCTGGCTCATCAAGTCTAATAGCTCAGATGAAATCAACACCGAGAACCCGATAAAACGTGATGTGCGTGTTTAAATTCCTTCCGTTTCAAATCCCCTTGAACATTGCTTTTTTCCAGGTCGCTGGTGTCGGTTCGACTGGAACCATCATGCGATTTTCTACCGCTAACCCAGGTTTGTCCCTGGCCACTCCATGATCTTCACGTCATTTCATGTTTTCCACTAGGTCCATGGTTCTTCCATTGCCACATCTTCTGGCATCTTCAAGCTGGTCTTGCTACAGTGATGGCCTCGGGTCTAAATGAGACTCGGGCAGAGGTCCACCCCACACAGGCCTGGACTGCATTGTGCCCGGCATATGATGCTCTTTCACCTGATTTGCAGTGATTTTAAAGTAATTATAGATGATAGAAATGCTTTCTACTATGCCCCCAAATCCTCCACCTTAGTCTTTGTGAAATTTCCCTTGGTCAATGTGTTTACTTCTATTTTTGTAATACTTATGATTCTTCAGTTCCACTGTACACATTCCTGAATAAGACATCTCAATGTTCAATTCTACAATTGGGTGGCTGAGCCAAAATTGGTGTTGATAAATATTCGAGACACTGAAACTTAGCAGAACCAGTAGGTGTTGTCTGAAGAAGGGTCTTATACGACGGATGAAAGGAGTTCCAATGAGAAGGACGGCTGGATGGATTGGGCAATGTGTATTTGAGAAAATTCTGCTTGACCAATATAATGCAAGACTTTCGTTACAATATTCAGAGACGTAAATGGATACATTCCGCCGATAAAATAACGTGGTCTATTCAATTGGATAGAGGAGTAGTTTTTGGGTCACCTTCCTCCGACTCTTCATGGGTCAAGACTCGACTCGCCTACCTGGAATTTGGTCATTATACCAGTAGAGAGCGGTGTGTTATTCAAGAGAGAGGGAACGCGATAGAAGATAGGTGCATAGCATCTCTCTCGTCCTACGTTTGAGATGAGCTACCAAGTTGCACAAAAGGAAAACAACTCACAGTACATGCCTTCAAAGCGCATGCCCTCTATCCGTTTATACTTACTCCTCTGAATCTTATACTTCAGTCAGATCATACGGTCTGAATACTTTTTCCGTGATTAGAATAGCGGGATGGAGCTCACCTAATGAAGGTGATTAGTATCATGGCAGAATCAGTGAGTACTAAAGTAGTGGCAGTGATAGTCAGAGCGAATCCGTGGAACGAAAAACATGCGATTGCAGGCCACTGCACCGCCGTGCATGGCAAGAACTCGGCCGTTTCCTTGAGGGTATTTAAATATTATGGAATTGAGAAAACGGGGCGCCTTTCAGACGCCTACATTGAATTTTTTGGAGAAAAGCTAAATAAAAGCAAATTTACATAAACTATTTATGGGAGATAGATAGATAGATAGATACAGTGCTTTGCGTAATTCTTTGCTTGCTCGACTTTTTCACATCTATTTGTGTTTATTTATTTGTCCAATATATTTTTACCCCAAAAAGGATTCATTAATCACTTTTTGAAGCCCGACGGCCCTGGTGGTCCTCAAAGAGAGCCCTCTCGAGCCTCGGCCCAAAAATGTATTGGACAAATAACTAGAAATAAACAGCAATAAACACTTGGTAAAAAATCCCTACAAGCAAACCATTTCGCAAAGCACTGTAGATACGCGGCTCCGTCGAAGACAGGGTCCCACAAGGGAACAGCCGGGCCCAACCATCCTGCATGCAGCAAATGCTCATCCGATGAGGGATGGTAGACTGCAGCGGCAATGGAGGGGGTAAATACATGTTGCGGTACATAATATGT